GGCCCCTCAGTGCTTACCCCTCAGTGCTCACCCCTCAGTGCTCGCCCCTCAGTGCTCGCCCCTTAGTGCTCACCCCTTAGTGCTCACCCCTCAGTGCTCACCCCTCAGTGCTGGCCCCTCAGTGCTCGCCCCTCAGTGCTGGCCTCTCAGTGCTCACTCCTCAGCGCTCGCCCCTCAGTGCTCGCCCCTCAGCGCTCGCCCCTCAGTGCTCGCCCCTCAGCGCTCGCCCCTCAGCGCTCGCCCCTCAGCGCTCGCCCCTCAGCGCTCACCCCTCCGTGCTGGCCCCTCAGCGCTGCCCCACCTGCCGGCCTGTGTTTCAGATCCTCTTCCTCAGCTCCTCGCTCAGCAGCGGGGAGCAGAACCTGTTCCTGAGCATGGACGAGGCCACCACCTTCCAGAAGCAGCTCGTGCCCTTCACCGTGGACAAGCTGATCTTCCACCCCAAGGACGAGGACAAGGTCCTGGCCTACACCAAGGAGGGCCAGGTGAGCGGGCGGGCGGCGCGTGGCTGCGGCCGTGTGCGTGTGTGAGTGTGTGTGTATTTGTCTGTGTCTGTGTATGTATGCTTATATTTTTTATTGATTTAGAGAGCGAGAGGAAGGAATGGGGGAGAGAGAGAGAGAGAGAGACCAACTGCCTCCTGCAGGCCCCCTTCTGGGGATCAAACCTGGAACCCGGACATGTGCCCTGACGGGGAATGAACCAGCCATGTTCGGTGCCCGGGACAATGCCCAACCCACCGAGCGGCACCGCCGGGGCTGTTCTTGCAGGTTTTAGCCGCGTAACTGTGCGTCCCTGGCGCACGTGTTCTTGCTTGTGTCCTGGGCTGTTTGCCTTTGCTAAGCAGGAACATGTATTTCCGCGCAGTTGGCGGTGCATTCTAAAACCACCTCCCGTGAGAGCAAACGGGCGAGGCTTCGCGAGGTTCCGGGGCGGGAGCCGTCAATGCAGGTGGCTCAGCGAGGGTAGCCATCCATTATGCTCGGGTCTGCAAGATGGGAATTGCTACCGTGAGCGGACACTGTGCATCCTTGAGCGACTTACCTACCCTCTCTGAGCTTAAGTTCTGTGGTGTGTGCGTGTGCATGCATGCGTGTGTGTGCACACGTGTGTGCGTGTGCATGTGTGTGTGTGCGGAATAAAGTGACATTTGACAAGCTCTGAGCTCTGTCCGGGCTCCGTGAGAGACCACAGCCACTGCCAGGCTCTCCCGCTGCAGCCGTCCCACCGCCCGTGTTCACTGAGCACCTGCTGCCTACGCGCCAGCCAACAAGGCGCTGAGTCCCTGGCCCTCCTGAGGCTTCTGTTCCAGGGGTGGGAGCTCCCCAAACGGCCCTTCCTCAGCCCTGGCAGGTTTGGCTCAGTGGCTAGAGCAGCCGTGGGCAAACTACGGCCTGCGGGCCAGATCCAGCCCTTTTGAAATGAATAAAACTAAAAAAAAAAAAGACCGTGCCCTTTTATGTAATGATGTTTACTTTGAATTTATATTAGTTCACACAAACACTACATCCATGCTTTTGTTCCGGCCCTCCGGTACAGTTTCAGAACA